CTTGTCGGGGCCTTGAGTGGCCATGACCTCCTGGTGCCAGTCTTGGATGTGTTCAAAGGACTTCCTGTTTGTCACATCAAAGACCAGCAGGACACCCACCACATTCCGGTAAAAGGACCTGGTGATGCACCTGGGGAGGTGGGGAGGGACATTGGGAGAGGCTTATTTCTTCAAGACACCCCCCAAGTGAGGACCTCCTCCCCGCTGGGATCCACAGAACGCCTCACCCCCCATAAGAGCGCATTGCACACTGCCGGCTGCTTCTGTCTGGGTGTCTGTGGCTCTCCCAGGAGACTGGGAGCTCCCGGTTAGGAAGCAGGTGTGATTCTCAGACTCTTCAGACTGTCCCTCCACTCCCGGAGGAGGCCTGAGTGTTCCTGACTGCCGGACTTTGCCTCTCGGTTCTCTCCCCTGCAAACTCCGATTGATCCTTCAAGGCCAGCACAAAGCTCTCTTCCTTTGACAGCTCCTTGACACTGCCCCTCTGTGCTCCGTGGCCTATCTCAGCACCCAGGTCCAGAGTTCAGTGTCGGGGGGCAATTCTCCTCCCCTCAGGACTGAATGTTCCTCTGGGGCTTGGCCCACCCCGCAGTATTTGTAGGATGAGCGACCCCATGAGGTAGGGTCTGGCCCAGCGGACCGGGACCCAGCCGCGGGGACCCCAGACCTCTACTTGACCACTGAGGTTGGCACGCCTGGGGGGCCCCTCCCACCCGCCCGCACCCCCGCCGCCCGCACCTGAAGCGCTCCTGGCCGGCGGTGTCCCAGAGCTGCAGCTTGACGCGCGGTCCGGCCCGAAGCTGCAGCGCGCGGCGGTAGAACTCGACGCCCACCGTGGGCTCGGGCTCGGGCTCGGGCTCCGGGGCCCCCGGCGCGCCCGCCACGTAGCGCCGCAGCAGCGACGTCTTGCCCACCGCCGCGTCCCCCAGCAGCGCGATCCGAAACTGGTAGCGGCAGCCCCCGGCCTCCATGGCCCCCGCCGCGGCCCTGCGGCCCCTGCGACTGTTTGTCCCGCCCGGCCCGGCCCTTCCCTGCCAGGCCCTCCCCCGACCCCAGGGCCCTCCCCGAAGGCCGGCACCGCCCCAGCTCCAGCCTGCAGGCACTGGCAGGCAGGGCCGTGGGTGGGGGAGCCTGGGACTTTTCCAGCACAAGGGGGACCAGACCCCGGAGTGCGACCGAGCGGAAACACCTGCGCAAGTCACGTTCTCTGAGCCTCAACCTTCTCCTGTGTCAAATGGGGATAATAATACCCCTTGCTTCACAGGATAAAAGGATTAACCTAGACAATGTGGGGAGGGGAACCCGAACGTAAACTGACCTAAGGGACAGAGTGCTAGAGCATTCACTTCGTTCATTTACTCTCCAGCTCCGCCCCCAGCCCCCACTGCTTCCCGTGAGGCTCCTGCTGCAGCACCTGGGACCACTCTGGAAAGTGGGTGTTTATAGCTGCTCCCTCCCCACCCAGCTGCCCTTTCCTAGAGCCCCGTTAGCCCTGCCAGGGGCCTCTGGTTCAACGTTCAGGTTCAATGATCAACAGCCCCACTGATTCCTCCATTCCTGTCTGTGTTGGACTCCAGGGCCCCAGAAGGGACTGGACACAGCCTGGTTGAGGAGGCAGGACAGACACAGACAACTGCAATTCTAGAGGGAGGGCAGTTGACCTGTGGACCAGACAACTAACATTTATCAGGCCAGATGGTCAGTTCTTTATGATTTGTGGGCAGCAACCCCTTGATAGGGCCACAGTGTGCCCATTTTAGAGCTGAGGAGACTAAGGCTCAGAGGCATGGCTTGTCCCGGGTCACACAGAGCTGGACTCACATCCAGGTTTGTCTCACCCTTCATTACTCCTCTGATACCACAAAAGGGGACCGACCCCAAGGCAGGTCCCATGAGAACCAGGACACTGTAGTTGGGTCTTACTTGGGTCAGGGGCTAGGGTCAGGCAGGCACATGTGCTCCCAAGGGCCACTCCACCCTTTCCAGGCTGGCCTTCTGGAAACCCAGGGCATTGAGGCTGGAGTTCTGGCTGGTTGCAGACAGCTTTAGCCTATCGGTTCACTCCTTTAGCAATCCCACTGTCCCACTGCAGGTGGCTTTTACCAGTTTAACTTGTTATGGCAAATTGGTGATGGTAGGAAAGTCCTCACTGTTGCAAATCATACCATCATGTCTTTCTAAAACAACCTTGTGAATAGGTATTGTTATTCGTGCCATTTTTTTTTTTTTTTTTTTTGAGACAGAGTCTCACTGTGTTGTCTGGGCTAGAGTGCCGTGGCGTCAGCCTAGCTCACAGCAACCTCAAACTCCTGGGCTCAAGCGATCCTCCTGCCTCAGCCTCCCGAGTAGCTGGAACTATAGGCATGCACCACCATGCCCGGCTAATTTTTTCTATATATTTTTAGTTGTCCGATTAATTTCTTTCTATTTTTAGTAGAGAGAGGGTCTCGCTCTTGCTCAGGCTGGTCTCGAACTCCTGAGCTCAAACAATCCGCCCGCCTCGGCCTCCCAGAGAGCTAGGATTACCACCACGCCTGACCTATTCATCCCATTTTTACAGATGAGAAAACTGAGGCTCAGAGAAGTTAACTAACTAGATCACTCAGCAAGGAGGACTGAGACTAGCTGTCAAGGCTACATAAAGCCGAAACCTTGTTTGCTGTTTCTGTTTGGGGCTGGACAGGTTGGGGATCTGGGAAGATTCAAGTTTATTCTGGCTAATTCTAAACAAATCAATGGAAAGCCATTTTATCATGTCTTCTGGCCATTGGTCACCTGCACGGTAGAGCCTGAAAGGGCCCAAGTCTCCAGGAGTAGAAGAGAGAGAGAAACCCAAGGACCTGGGCACCAGGAGGAGCCTCAGAAAGGGGGTGTGTGTTGGGGGAGGGTCTTCCCCTGCCAGCGCTGCCCACGCCAAGAGATCTTGCCCCAGTGATCCCTCCATCAGAATGTTCTCCCACCTCGTTCTGTTCATCTTTTGCATCTGGCTCCTGTGGATGCCCTCAGCTCCTTCTCTTCCACTGGTGCTGTGAATTCCAATCACGCTGAACACCTGTCCTCTCCCCAGCCCCTCTGCCAGGAACACGCCTTCTCTGCTCTTCCAAGGACTAACTAACCCTACTTCGGGCCTCAGTGTGGATCCCTGTCCTTGGGGAGCCCCACATTGGCCAGATGAGGTCACATGCACTTTAGTCCACCTGTGACTTCTCCTGTCTCCTAGGCTGCAAGCCCCTGTGGGCAGGGACTGACAGTTGTACCCTCAGTGCTTAACTCAGTGCTTGGCTTAGAGTAGGAACTCAGTAAATGTTTATGGTTGGATGAATGAATGAAGTGGATAAGTGCTATGCATTTATCCCTCCGTTCATTCAGCCAAATACCACAATAGAGCTGGGTTCAGGATGCCAAAGGGTCAGAAAAGACCTTTCAGAGGAGATGATGCTGCGTCTCCAACGATGAGTGGGATCTGGCAAGGTCAAGGATGAAGAGTACTCCAGTGGGGCTGCTGGGCAAAGGCAGAGAGGCATGAAACAGCTGGAAGTGGAGTTTGAACTCAGTTCTCCTTGAAGCCTTTCTGGTCAGCCCACGTGGGCAGTGCACTGTCAGCATCTGGCTTCCTGAACATCTTCCTTCTCCCAGACACTCCTGCTGTGGCCTGGGGTCATGTGTCTGCCTCTGACTGCTCCCGCACTCGAATCCAGATGTCAGCTGACCTCTGCCATGGACTCTTTGTGTGACCCCAGGGGCAAGTTATTTCCCTTCTCTGAACCTTGCTTCCTCTTCTGCTAAGTGAGGCAAATCACGGTACCCGCTTTGCAGAGTCATCCTGTAGGAACTGTGTAACGCAGCAGTTGAGGAGATGCACATTTGTGTTAGAACAGATCTGGGTTGTAGTTTCAAGTACTACTTACTAGTATGTGACCCTGGCCAAGTTTTATTCATTCATTCATTTACTTAGTAATTATTTCAATAAGTGCTGGCCATCTTTTATATGCCAGGCACTTATACAGCAGGGGGGAAAAAAGACAAAATTCCTGGTTTTTTTGTTTTGTTTTTTTGTTTTTTGAGACAGAGCCTCACTCTGTTGCCTGGGCTAGAGTGCCGTGGCATCTGCCTAGCTCACAGCAACCTCAAACTCCTGGGCTCAAGTGATCCTCCTGCCTCAGCCTCCTGAGTAGCTGGCACTACAGGTGAGCACTACCACACCCGACTAATTTTTTCCATTTTTTAGTTGTCCAGCTAAGTTTTTCCGTTTTTTTTAGTAGAGACAGGGTCTCACTCTTGCTCAGGCTGGTCTCGAACTCCTAAGCTCAATCGATCCTCCGATCCTCCGGCCTTGGCCTCCCAGAGTGCTAGTATTACAGGCGTGAGCCACCACGCCCGGCTGGGGAAGATTTTTATATTGATGTTTACTCATTCATTCCATGGACAAAACATTGCACCACGAATGTGGGCTCGGGGGTGGACTCCAAATATCCAGTACTTACTTCGCTTGCCAGCTATGTGACCTATTCCTCAGTTTTCTTATCTGTAAAAAAGGCATAATTATGATACCTATACACAGGGTTATTAGGAAAACTAGATGACATAATTGAGCACAGTTTAAATAGTAAGCGCTCAGTAATTCATACATTAGTGGAAGAAAGAAGGCTTGACTAATGTAATCATCTGAGCCCTCCCGGAGCCCGCTCAGTCGCTGCTCGCCCGCGTCCCCACCGCGCTCGGGCCGAACCCTTTCCCAGCTCAGAGGGTTAATTTCCCGACTTTGAAAATCATCCCAGAGACTGAACTGCAGAGGGCACTGCGGCTCTGCCGCCTCCCTGTGAGACCAGCGCCGGGTACTGAGAAGCAAAGGAACCTCCTCCGTGCACACGCGCAGGGCTGCGCGGTGACGCGCCACTGGAACTACAACTCCCAGGGTGCAGCGCCACGCGCGCGGCCGCCGGGGCAGCCTATATAAGCCTCCTCCCCGCGGCGCAAGTCCTTTCTCCCTGCGGCCGCGGTCCTGGCTGCGCTTCTTTCGGGCAGCCAGGCCTCCTGCGGTCTGCGCCCTTCCCCCTCCGCCCGGCGCCCGCCGCCTGCACTCGCCGGGCTGCCTCCCGAGGCGGCGCGATGTTGACCGCGGCTCGGAGGACCGGGCCTTCCCGCCTGGTGGGGCCCCGGTACGGGAGGCCTCGTCGGCCGCACGCGCTGTGACAGGGGCCGGAGCCCGCGGGGCTGCGCCCTTCTCCAGCCTCGGCTCGGGCCTGACGGGTGAGTAACGCGGGCGGGCGCACGAACGAGCGCCTGGGGCCGCGGGGATGTAGCCTGGGCCTGAAGTGGCTTAATTTGGGGGAGGCCACGTGCTGGTGCCAGGAGGACCTCCGGTTGAGTCTGCCTGTCACGGTTATCAGCTGGGTGGCCTTGGACAAGTGACTGCGATCGAGTTTTCTGGAGGTCACCGTGGTGGATATAAGGAGGAGGTTTCCAGGAGGACGGATTTTAGTCATTCAGACCCTTTTTTGCATCACAGTTTAGCGGCCTACAGGATGACTGTGTCAGTCACCAGAGTGTCTGGGTAAATGTATTTCAGTAGGCAGGAACGATGCGCAGGATTTAGATGAGTCAGGTGGCTCAACAGCAGTTTGGGGTTGTGGCTGCCCTGTGACCTGAATTGTCCCGTGGCCCTTATCGAAGCTGCAGCTGCTTCCACATAGCTGCTGTGGTCAAAAAGGAGCCCAGAGTGACAGTTTTCCTTGACGGTCGCCGTTCTGTTTGCTGTAACTGATCTGCAACATTTTGGGAAAATACAGTTTCATTGTACCTGCCGTGTCTCCGGTATAGCCAGAAACCTTTATTAGAATTGGCTGTTTCCACACTAGCAGAAAGGTGGGGTCTTATGCGTGCAGTTAACCAGAATAAGGCTTTTGGGAAGTACTTTGCCCAGGCCAAGAACCAGTAGGGAAGGGCAGTCGGGAGTGGGTTGGACATGCGTACGGGGAAATCAGTGGCATGTGACACATCATAGCGATGCTTTGGGTCACTTACCTGAAAAGCTTAAGGCATCAGTATCAGGACCAAAGGCCAGTCAGACCTTTATGAGGACCAAACGAAGGGAACAATGAGATCATTCAAGATAATTGTGTTTTCATTTTAGCTGTGCCTGATGAAGACTCCAGGATGACTGAAGTTGGTTTTTTTGGGGAGCGAGGACTCCAGAGGTCATGACAGTGATGAAACAGAACAATCTCAGGACACGTGGGTAGGTTTGTTTTGGAGACCTACTTTGGGAGCTACAGGGACAGTACAGCATGTTTCCAAGGGCTGTGGCTGATTGTGGCCATGGGATCTCCAACTGCATGCGAGAGCAACCTGGAGAGACTTTGACAGCTCAGGTCAGCACAATACCTGCAGCTGCCACTCGCCTTTCCTATAATGTTTCAGGACCTGGCGTTAGCCTTCCACCCGGATCCAGGCGGTTTCCATCAGTTTCCACGTAAATGGGTGTATTGGGTCAACTTCGTGGTTTAGAGCTTTCACATTGAGCTTTTGTTCTGCAGGTTGCCCCCAAGTTCCCTGGAGGTATCTGATACTGAAGAGACCAGCATGTTTCCATGGCTGTGCTTTAAGGTAATGTCGATGTTGAAGACAGCTTGGCCCTCCTGTTCCCTTTCCCATCGGATCTGAACACTGGTCTTGGTGGTCGTAAAAGGAGGAAAAGTAATACTGAAGCTGGCCCCCCCAGTGTTGTAGTTTGGTATATAGCATGTGGGCTAGTTTCAAACAAGGTTGAATTCTCTTTGAACTTGTTTACTCTCCCCTGTAAAATGGGAGATTTACAGGGGAGAGGAAACAAGGCTAAAGGGGGAATATATGCGAAGCTCTGGGAGTCGTGCAGTAATTGCTGACCAATTTTATTGTATTCAGGGAGGGAGCTATCAGCTTTCTTGACTCTTGATTGAGGGTGTCCTTTTATGTTGGATCTAGGTTAGTAGTAAAGCTGTCCTCAGCTGCGATTATGGAGCTACTGAGTCGGGTAAGTTCATGAATACCTTCACAGCTTCCTTGTAGCTTCAGGTAGTGCTTGAGTTTGTGAGCCCTGTCATAAATAATGTAGCAAATAGAGATGTAAGGTTACTCGGGTCTGTGGAAAAGTCTCAGCTTTTAATACATTTACATCTGGCCTTCGTTGTGTCCTGTGTTTATTAGCTGTTCATGACCAGCACGGCTTGGTCTCTAAGCTGTGCCCACCCTGCAGGCCATGCACAGAGGACTGAGAGCAGCAAATGTGCCGTAGTGGGTGGAGCTCATGACACATCCTTTGGTTTGACCTCAACTTCCCTCCCACCCCCAGGGAGAGTGTGGGATAGATGAAGGGGTAGAAACAGGTAGTTCATCTAGCTCAGGGTATTCCTTAGGATGACTGGTCCAGGATGAAACCTAATCTGAGTGGACATCTGTGGATGAGAAACGCGGATATGGGACTGAGACCAGCACCTAGGAAAGTGCCTGGGTAGGGATTAATCAGGACGGCACTAACACACTTGCTTACTCTGTTTTCAGGAAAATTGCAACAGGCTATTTCAGGTGGAAACTGAACTCCAAGCACAGATTTTTTTTTTTTTTTTTTTGCTAATGTTATATGCATCTGATGTTGAACTATAGATGATCAATAAAAGACGAAGTATGTTTGTGTCTTGTCCCTCAAATTGTTGGTTATTCCCCATTTAATATTCTGTAGACCCAAACTCGCAGAAAAGGTTAACCTCTTAGAAATAACGTGGTCAATTCTATAACTGCATTTTTACTTATTTCTCCTTTGCTGGACCTGAGGCTGTTTTAGGTCCTTGTTAACAGATCTTCGAAGGATTCTGTGACATAGGCTGTAACCCCGTTGCCTTGAAGCAGTGATCCCCAAATCTCTAGCACAAAACTAGATCAAAGTTCTGTGAACCCCAAAACTTTCAGGAAGGGCTAGCAAATGTACTAGACATGAACAATATAAGTTGGAAAATGGGATCTCCTAATTTATTTGGAAAATGAGATGGGTGTAAGGTTGACAAGGTAGACTGGCATTGACTCATCTTGGTCAAGTTAATCCTTTTTCTTTCTGCCACCATTTCTCATGGAAAATACTTAAGGTAATTAAGGCCAAGAAATGGGTGGGGTTTGGGAATCTTGGCACACAGATGGCCCTTTGGCAGGCCGGTCCCTTATGTGATCCAGGCCTTGTAGGTACTGCAGCTGACAATGGCAAGAACCAAGTCTTGAGCCTTCTTTAGGCTAAGCATCCTCCATCACTTCCCACCACACATTCCTCACTGGGCCATGCTCCTTCCATCCCCAGAATGTCCTTTCTACCTAGGTGGTAGCCATGTAGCAAGTTTGTTGGGGTGACCCTAAAATATCAGAGACACAACAACCACGGGCAGCAGGTGCTCAGGCTGCAGAGAGCCCTAATGGTTTACTTGCCTAGGGTTTGCTGAAATGAGTCATTACCCACTTTGGGTATTCCCAAACTGTCCTTATCTCTGGGAGTGTGGATAATTGCGTGGGGTAAATGGTTGTGACCAAAATAGCAATCTGAACTTTGTTCAGCAGTTGGTCCCCTGTCAAATGAATTGCTGTCAAATGAAGGCTGCAGCACCGCATAAATACTCATAAGCTCCAGAAATGGTCAGTCATTACAAATCATTTCAAAAAAGGCTCCACAATTTTTAAAAAAAAGTCTCATCTTCCCCACAGTCTTTTCTGACATGTTCTTTGTCCTTGCTACATCACGGCGGGGATCTCAGAAGACACTGTGTCCAGGGGCTGCCAGTGACAGTCCATCAGTGCGTCGTACAGCTCCTCACTCTGCTCCATGAACTCCTTGTTGGCCTCAGTCACATCCAGCTGCGGCATGGGGTCTGGAAGGAAAGCAAGGATGAGGTCAGGGAAGGCTAACGGGACGGCTGCAAAGGATTTGATTCAGTTCCCATCAACCAAGACTCTGTTCTAGGGTGAGGTCCTTATCCTTTCTGTCAGTGTCCTCTCTTAGGGGCTGATTTCACTGCCTTGCAGGGTTCCTGGGAGGATGAAAGTAGGATCATGTACTTAGAAAACGTAATAATGGCAGCTCTTGTTATACATATTATTGAAAGCTGCACCTATGTCTCCAGCCATCATGTACCCTAGATTTTCTGGTGTGGTCCTCATTTCAAATTTGGGTTTGGAAAATCTGATCAAAGTTATTAAATCCAAAGTACCATCTGAAGATCTGACAAATGCCTAATGAAAGAATTATGGTCTTTCATAGGGGCTGAGAGGCCAAGTCCTGTATTTTAATCTTTTTTGATTGTTCTTTAGAAATCATGACAAAATATATAATAATATTAAAAATACTGTATCAGGTAAACTATTTTTTAAAAAGAATATTAGAAACCAGGCGGGGTGGCTTCTGCCTGTAATCACAGCTACTGGGGAGGCTGATGAAGATCACTTGAGGCCAGGACTAGGCAACATAGCAAGACCCTATCTCTACAGAAATAAAGTAAGGAATATTACATCGCATAGAAAATGAACTTCAGCTGCATACAATTTGGATGAATCGCACAGAATGCTGAGTGGGTGTTGAATGAAAAAAGCAACACAATACATAAAGTATGACTGCCTTATTTAAAGTTAAAAAACCAGCAAAACTAAACCACATTGTTTAGCCATGTACAGCTAAGTGATAAACTATGAAGAGAAGGAAGAAAATGGTTACCACGAAAATCAACACAGTAGTTTTCCCTGGCAGGCTTGTGGGTTTTGATTTGAGGAAGAGAGCCTCTGGGGGCAGGCTTTGTTCTACTTTTTAGAGATGGGGGTCTCAACATGTTCCCATGCTAGCCTCAAAGTCCTGAGCACAAGTGATCCTCCCAGCTCAGCCTCCTGAGTAGCTGGGAATACAGGAGTGTGCCACCACACCCAGCTCTTGTTCTACTTTTTATTTTTTTTTTTCTTGAGACAGAGTCTTGCTCTGTCACCCAGGCTAGAGTGCAGTGGTGTGATATAGCTCATTGCAGCCTCCAAGTCCTGGACTCCAGTGATCCTCCTGCCTCAGCCTCCCAAATAGCTGGGACCATAGGCATGCACTACCATGCCCAGGTAATTTTTTTTATCTTTTGTAGAGATGGGGGTTTCACTATTGCCCAGGCTGCTCTTGAACTCCTGGGCTCAAGTAATCCTCCCACCTCGGCCTCCCAAAGTGCTAGAATTACAGGTGTGAGCTGCTGTGCCCGGCCTCGTTCTACTTTTTTTTTTTTTTTTGAGACAGAGTCTGGCTCTGTTGCCCTGGCTAGAGTGCCGTGGCATCATCCTAGCTCACAGCAACCTCAAACTCCTGGGCTCAAGCGATCCTTCTGCCTCAGCCTCCCGAGTAGCTGGGACTACAGGCATGTGCCACCATGCCCGGCTAATTTTTTCTATATATTTTTAGTTGTCCAGATAATTTCTTTCTATTTTCAGTAGAGACGGAGTCTCGCTCTTGCTCAGGCTGGTCTGGAACTCCTGAGCTCAAACAATCCGCCCGCCTCAGCCTCCCAGAGTGCTAGGATTACAGGCGTGAGCCACCGCGCCCGGCCGTCATTCTACTTTTTGACCTAGATGAACATTTCATGGGCAACTGCAATATAATTACATGTTAAACTGTACATTGGTTTTATGTGTTTTTCCATATATATATTTCACAATAAAAAGTTGTAAGAATCATTATCAGTATGGTTGATAATCCCAGCTGCCTTTTTGGCAGTAATTGACAAGCTGATCTTAAAATTTATAAGAAAATGCAAGGGACCCAGAATAGCCAAAACAATCTTGGGGAAAAAAATTGAGGACTCACACTTCCCCATTTCAAAACATACTTGAAAACTACAGAAATAAAAACCCTTTGGCAATGGCCTATGGATACACATAGAGATCAATGGAATAGGATGAAGAATCCAAAAAAAAAAAAACACCTATACATCTATAGTAAACTGGTTTGATAAAGGCTCCAAGACAATTCAATGGGTAAAGAACAGTCTACAGCTGGGCATGGTGGCTCATGCCTGTAACCCTGGCACTTTGGGAGGCTGAGGTGGGAGGATTGCTTGAGGCCAGGTGTTCAAGACGAGCCTGGGCAACAGAGCAATACCCCATCTATAAAAAAATAATAATAATAATTAGCCAGGTGTGTTGCCGCATGCCTGCAGCTACTCAGGAAGCTGAGGCAGAAGGATTACTTAGAGTTAAGAGGTTACAGTGAGCTATGATCATGCCACTGCACTCTAGCCTGGGTGACAGAGCAAGACCCTGTCTAAAAAAACAAAACAAACCAGTCTTCAACAAATGGCACTAGGACAACTTGATTTCCATGTGCAAAAGGATGACATTGGACCCTACCTCACACCTTATATAAAAACTAAGAATGATTTAAAAAAAAAATTAACAATGGATCAGACATAAATGAAAGAGCTAAAACCATGAAACTCTTGGACTAAAACAGGTATTTCATATTTATGATATCAAAAGCATAAGCAACAAAAAAAGAAAAACAGAGAAACTGGACTTAATATGAACTCAAAATTTTATGTTTCAAAGGACATTATCAGGAAAGTGAAAAGATAAGCCAAGAAATGGGAGAAATGCAAATCATATGTCTGATAACAGAGTAGCATCTAGAATAAATATTCTTGCAACTCAAGAGTAAAAAGACAACCCAGTTTTTAAAATGGGCAACAGCTGGGCATGGTGGCATACTTGTAGTCCCAGCTACTCAGGAGGGTGAAGTGGAAGGACCACTTGAACCCAAGTATTCGAGGCCAGCCTGGGCAACATAGCGAGAACATGTCTCTTAAAAAAATAAAGCACAGGACTTGGAAAGACATTTCTCCAAATAAAACATACACATGGCCAATAAACATATGAAAACATGATCAATATCATTAGCCATGAGAGAAATGCAAAACAAAACCACAATGAAGGCCTGACATGGTGGCTCACGTCTGTAATGCCAGCACTTGGGGAGGATGGAGCAGGTGGATCACTGGAGCCCAGCAGTTAGAAGCCAGCCTGAACAACAAAGGGAGACCTCCTTTCAAAAACAAAAAGCTGTAAGGAGATACCACTGCAAACCCACTGGGATGGCTATAATTAAAAAGAATAAAAACTGTTGGTGATGATGTGGAGAAACTAGAACCCTCAAATACAATATACAGATGGGTAGGAATGTAAAGTACTGCAGCCAGTATGGAAGTTTGACAGCTCCTCAAATGGTTAAAAATAGTTTATGAAATGATCCAGCAATTCCACTCCCAGGAATGTACCTAAGAGAAATAAAACTTTTGTATGTTCACACAAAAACTCATATATGAATGGTTCATGGTAGCATTATTCATAATAGCCAGAAGTGGAAACAACCCAAATGTCCATCAACTGATAAATGGATAAACAAAATCAATGGATGTTCATACAATGGAATAGTATTTGGCCATAAAAAGGAATGAAGTCCCAACACAGGCTACAACATGGATGAACCTTGAAAATACTATGCTAAGTGAAAGAAGCCACTCACAAAAGATCACATATTATATATGATTCCATTTGTTCAAAATGTCCAGAATAGGCAAATCCAGAGACAGAAAGTAGATGAGTAGTTTACAGGGTCTCGGGGTGGGGGATATAAA